GTGTAACTCATATAATTCCTTATACAGCATCACTTTTAATAATTTCTAGAAATCCCATATTTCTGGAGAGTCAACATATCTGTTTATGCTATTAGATTATTCTTGCCATATTTAGTTTTACCCAGTTTGATGAGAGCCAATGGAGGATCTTCTGGAGAGGACCTTTCAGGCTGAAACTCCTCCCCAAAATGGATACTTTTTTTTTCTCTGGTCCATATTTGTTACTGTGTGCAATCTAAGCTAAATACTTACAAAAACAAACAAAGTTCTATTTTGGTTTATTATTTTCAATAATGAACCATTGTAATCGCAAAAAAAATGAATTCAAAAACTTAACCTCCTCTCAAAATTTGAGGTTTTACGTTTTAGGATATGTAGAATTCGAAAAACGAATAAATTTTTTTTTTCTGTCCACCGTCCGCATATTTTCTCCGAAACTACTGGTCCTATTTTTTTCAAATTTGGAATTAAAGTCAGAGGTCGCTCGAAGGTGATCCTCCTTCATCGACATCACTAATCACCTTTTCCTTTCAAGATGACTGCAGAAAAACCTACTTTGCTATAGATTGTAGGTCCTAAACGAATGTACCGATTTCAATGAAATTTGGCTGAAGTCCTCTTCTCGATGCCCTTTAAATTTATCTATATAACATACTTCAACGAAAAGAAGCTGAAAAAAAAGTTACGAGCGATGGTAAAATTAGAATAACTCAAAATGTATACACTTTTTTGTTGATATTGTGATAAAGTGTTTCAAAGTAATTTAAATTTCCTAAAAAACGATGAAAGTTTCATCGAAATCAGTGCACTATTAGTAAAGATATCGCGATTTTAACATAGTTTGGTTTATTATTTTCAATAATGAACCATCGTAATCAAACAAAAAATTTAAAAACTTAACCCCCTCTCAAAATTTGAGGTTTTACTTTTTAAAATTATAATGTGTAATAAATTACAACACTGCAATTAAATATTACCACATCTTATGAAAAAAATAATAAAAAATTATCTCGTTATTCAAAAATTATATAACAAAGTATTATTGTTCATGTAATTACATTTTATCTATTATAATTTTTTTTTTTTTTGTTTTGGCTTCAAGGATCAGTTAAACATCATATTATATAGGTAGTTTCTTTCTTTTTTTTCAAAAATAATTATCGTTATACATATATATAAATCTTTTGGGTTGAAACCCTCCCTCCCCCCAAATTAAATCCTTCCTGGATCCACTACTGACCGTGGTGGCTGTGAAGTTGGGCTCTCGATTGCACTCGAGGACAGATTGAAGCGAATCATAAATCGCTTTTTAATCGATGTATTATTTTTATTCGGTATCTCGAGGCATTCTCAACTTTCGAATATTGCTCTCTTGTCCACTCTCCACTTCCTTCTAATATTTTTCTTTCTTATCCTCAATCAAATTCTTCTTTTTCCAATATCTATTTACATTTCAGAAAAATGCTATCTTATCATGAAATTTTAATTTAAGAATACAATTTTATTTAGATGTAAAAACTTGTTTTAATGTTCAAGTTTTACTCTATAACTTATCCCGAAAATGTTTCCAATTTTCACCCGAATCTTACATATCAACCAAATCTCATAGTACAATCTCTATGTAGATTCATCTCTCCTTACAATCCTTCTCGAAGGTTGAAATAGCAGTAGCTCCGTGGCCCTTTGCAACAGACTCTAGCGGATCCAAGATTTAATTGTTGGGGGGAGAGGCTTCAGCCCGAAAGCTTTTTTTTCATAAAAATAACTATAGTTACTTTGGAAAAAATGAAAGAAACTAATTACTTATATGAAATGGTGTTTAAGTGATTTCTAAAGTCCTTTTAAATTAATTACACGAACAATAATACTCTAAGAGATAATTTTTTAATATTTTTTCCATAAAACATGGTTATATTTTACCATTTTTGGGAGGGGAGGATCTTCAGACCAAAGCCTCCCTCCCCCCGTAGATCCGCCCGTGGTAACAGACATAATTTGGGTTCCAGCAATGGTCAGATTCTTCACTCAAGCAATATGTATGTATTTCAATGATGCTCTCACTGGCTTTAGTACTAGTGCCATAGTTGAGAAAGTAATTCAGGATTCTCCATTGTCCATATTGTTAAAAAAAATTATATTATTTAATAAAGTAGTTAAAAAAAACTGTTGATGTTAATTAATTTTCTTAAATTTTTCTCTCTTTTTTTTTTGTTCGCTATTATTCGCATATTGTTTATATTACATCTATTTGAAATTATTTTTAATATCTGAAACTACTGCGGTTAATATTTCATTTATTGTTTTCGGAATTTATACATCAAAGTATATATGCATATTTCAGTTTATAAGAGTTATATGCAATTTATATATAATGTGTTTATGAAACGTTGAAGTTATCTTTAAATTCGTGCCATTGTTATGTAAATCACTTCACACTTGAAATGCCGTTTGAGAAATTGATAACATAAAAGAAGAATAATGGATTACAACACGAGCTGAAGTGGTTTGGTTTACGAAATGGACAAAGAATGACATAAAAAAAAAGTAAGTCAGGTTCAGTGTGTCCTCAATCATTAAATAGGAGAGGAGTTTCGAATTATTGGCTCATGTTAGAGTAAGCTTAATGATGAACATATTTATTTTTAATAGATCATAGATTTTTTTTATATTCTCGATGATTTTACCTCTTTAGTTGTTATCACAAACGGTTGGAGAATCGTCCACAGCTCGTACATTCTCAAAAGAATATAACCAATGAGAAAAGCTAAGAGTAGATCACGTTGATAAGAACCTGCAATACCAATGAGGTGCACGTTAACAATACCGAGGAAAAATATCGAAGCCACGGTGATTAAAATAGGAATCGATATAACTTTAATCAGTTCCATACTCATAGTTCGAAGGTCGTCGTATATCCGTATCAATTCGTAAATTTTTGTTAACTGGTTTTCGAATGCTATGTTACCGATAGTTTCTTCAAGTCTTACTTTGATGAAACGGAAATGTTGAGCAATAAAAGTCATTATTGCAAAAAAAAGTAGTTCATAAATGAAAATCGGCATTAATGGTCCATGTGTCGCTATCAAATCCACAGCTGTAAATAGCCAATGAGTGTCCGATGATAAAAAGTAATCCAAGACAGCTAGAATGACAATACTTACAAATTTAACAAGGCAAGTAAGGATTATTGAAGTCATTTCATAAGTTATGGGCATGCCAATCTGAAGCAAACATTTGTCAACTATTTCAAAATCTGCAATGATCTTGTTGAATGGTTTATGATAATATATCGTTGCACCGAAAATGGTCATGTAATTAAAATATAGGAAGCCTTTTTGTGCTTTCTCTATGGATATGTGCATCAATGAATCGTATAGATGAAAATCCACATTTTGCAGCCACAATATCACACCGAATGCAGCGTAACCGAGAATAGCGAATATCGATAAACTATAAGCGAATAGTAAAGACGATATTAATCCTTTTCGAAAAATCGGATGTACGCCAAATATCCAGGACAACCTTAAGAGAGGTTTCATTGCGGTAGTGATGGAGTTTTTTTCCATCATGGTAGGTGAGTTTATTGCTGCACTTAAACTGTTTGGGTGGAAAGCTGAAAGTACTCGTTACAGCTTAAAGGAATCGATTTTATCCCGTCATTGGATAAGATCTAAACACAGTATATGTCAAGCTGTTGTGGTCATTACTACTTTATCGTGTTTATTTATCGGAGTTGAAATAAATAACTGCAGGTCATTTTTAGTGGCAGCAGACCAAGATCGATGGAATCGAAGAAAATTACTAGTGTTGCCCAAAATCTGTCTTGGTCTTGCACTTTGCAAGACCAAGACCAAGGCTGCCTAACTGCTGTAAGACCGAGACTAGGACTGTTAAAAAAAATCGATTTTTTAAGTAAAAATTGATGCAAAATATTTACTAATATACTCGACAATTTTAGTTAATATATGTTAATAATTGGTTAATAAACCAATATACTTTTGCATTTAACTCCTCTAATTTTTCATTCGGGCTTAGGTTTCTCCTATCTAAAAAATCACAGTAATATCTCTATAGCAATAAGCTAATAAGTAACTGCAAGACTTGTGAGACTCTTGCGCAAGACCAAGACCATGACCGAAATTGAGTTTGCAAGACAAACTCACAAAAGGAAAAATGACACGTTCCTTAATAAGTTTTTCATCCACAAATGTTGAAAAAGATAATTATCAATATTATGATGACTGCTGAGAAATTATGAAAACATATTCAGAGGTGCAGTTATCAATCTTATACTTTCAGCAAGTTCCTAAATTCAGCAATAATTCCATCAATAGATTTCATAAATCGATAATTAATGCTGTCCAGCGATGGTCAACTATTAATACTGAGTTTAGAAATGACCTGATGGATTCTAGCTGGATAGACCGGAATGGGTACAAAACATATAAAAAATAAAAACATATTTAATGGGATAACTACCTACTGAATTGTTGTGTTTAAAAACAGAAATAAATATAGATAAAAGTAAACTGAATATTAATATACTAAGCAAATTGAGAAATAACAACACTGACGTTTCATCTTGCGGATTCTTTGACCCCAAACGCTGATGAAGCGCTGAGCCATCGGTGATTCAATCACTGAATAAAGAAATGCATCAAGTTCCATTCATGGTTAACCTAGATGAGGTTTTGATGGATTTCCAATGCCTTCGATGGGCTCAATGATGAGTTTTAGAATTTGCCATTTGTTATCTTAGTGCAATGCATGGAGTTATGTGGTTGATTTCTACCACTCCAAAATTTTAGTTTATTTTTTATATAATAATTTTAACATCTAACTGGAAATATATTTTTCCAAATACTTAATAATTATATCTATACATTTTAATTAACAGTCTAAAATACCATATCAATTTAATATTTTTTAAATAATCAACGAATTTTAATATTTTGCTGCTACTGACAGTTGTAATAAAAAAAAAATATATAACTCGAGAGTGTTAAAAAAAAATTTAATTACAGAAGTTAAGCATTTACAGTATGAATATATTTTTTTTTTGTTCTAACTAATTACTCGTTTGGTAAATTTTAGAAAGATCTTGTTTTTTATCTTGTATATTCTTGAATATTCTTCAAGATTTATATGTTCTGGAGTTTTTTTTTCGAGATGAAAATCATACTTCAGCATTGTTATTGCCATTACTAACTTCAGTTCCATCAATGAAAAACGCATTCCTGTTAAAAAAAAAAATGGAAAATTATTTGGTGAGAATGTATATCAATTTAGATGTTTATTCTCTTCAAATATATGTATGATATTTTCATTAAAGAAATAATAATAATAATAATCAGTTTCTCTTTTAGTACGACTTAAAAGATTTAATATTAAAAATAATATGTAAAAATGAAAAATTACCAATACATTTCCTCGGTCCGTCTCCAAACGGCAAGTAAGAACCTTTAGGTATTCTGCTTTTATTTTCACGACTGAATCTTTCTGGAATGAATTCCAAAGGTCTGGGAAAGTTTTCTTCGTCGCTATGGAGTTCCAAAATTGGAATGTAAACTTCCATATCCTTAACAATAGTTACATCCGATCCAGGTATCTTGAAATCTTCGGAGCAAATACGTTGGGTATAAAACGCAGGTGGGTGAAGTCTTAAAACTTCTGAAAAATAAAGAAAAAAAATCTAATATTGTAATAGTTATGTTACGAGAATTTATAAGAATAATAAATCTTTAAACAATTATTTTTTTCAGCCCGAAAATACATCCTTAATCTTAAATAAGGTAGTGAAAACGTTCATTTATAATAAAAATTTATACTGGTGCATCAACGTAATAAAGCTAGTATAAAATTACATAATTCTTATAAAGTAAAATAATTCTATGTTATGATATTTAATTTGGATTGATAAGTATTAGATTGCTTAATTGTAAATTTGAAATTTAAATTGATCCGTTATCTCATTTGTTGTGAATATCAATGATAGAAAAATAGGCCAATGAAAAAAAAAAAATTCTGAAAATGAGCTACTGTAATAAATTTCAAATATCTAAACTCAGTGCTTATATCATCGATGGAATTTATGAATCGATTGATATATTGCTTATACAATCGATTGATCCCCATCGCACCGATGGAGAGCGATTTATCTTTGATCAGGAAAGACTTGCTGGATTCCAGCAGTAGGTTGGTTACAATGACATGAACATGAAAAATAAGAAATAAGAAGTAAGCTGATTATAAATTAAGGAGATTCTCGCTAATCCGAATCTCCCTTATCGGCACCATTCCGTAATCTGCACCATCCCATTAAAGTAAAATAATTGAAGATTTAATTTTATGTACGTATTACATTGATTTTATGTATAATTACGTTCAATGAAACCACCGGGGGATCTATAGGGGGGGAGAGAGGCTTCCGGGCTGAAGCCTCCCTCCAAAAATGGTAAAATGTAACCATGTTTTATGGAAAAAGATATTTAAAAAATATCTCTTGTCTGTTAAAGTATTATTGTTCATGTAATTACATTTAATAAGGCTCACTTAAACGCCATATCATATAGGTAGTTAGTATCTTTCTTTCTTTTCTCAGTCATTATCGTCATATATGAAAAAAAGCTTTTTGGCTGAAGCTCCCTCCCTCCCCTAATATTAAATCCTAAATCCGCTAGTGAATGAAACCTTATCATCAACACCTTACGTGTTCATGCTTATATAACCTAGTTAAAAGTACCAACTCCGGTTATTAAAAAAAAAAACCTAACTGTGCATATATTAAAATTTGGGAGCGTATTTACTTTCTCTTATTTCTTTATCGGCTTATATAATGAACCCTTTCATTAAATAAATCTTTTCATTGTAAAATCGTATTGTCCATTAAATAGTAATTTGCGCAATTGAAAAACAATATACTATGAGCTTTGAGAAAATAAATAGTATTTAACTAGGAAATAGTTTAAAAACTTAATTTTCTGAATAATGTTCAATTATTGTAAAAATATTTGTATGCAAATACATTTTTGTTTTCGAATTGATTTGTTATTTATTAAGTTATCTTTTTTTTCTGTTCGCCAATCCGAATTTTTCGCTAATCCGAACGCCCTTCGTTTTAATTAGTTCGGATTTGCTGGAGTCCACTTCATGTAAAATAAATTGTGAAATAAAAACACTAAGGTTATTATTAGATTAGGTAGAACATTAACTAATAGAGCCGGTGACCTATTGGTGTTTCAATCAACGAATAAAGAATGAGTTTAGGAAAGGTCAGATGGTTTTCCGATGCCAACGATTTGCTTAGCACTGAGTTTAGAAACTTATATTGCCCTATCTTTTTTACTTTCACTTACGTATATATGTAATATATAGTAAGGGTAAGTATTGTGATCGTGAACATTTTTGAATCTGAGTTTTCAACGGAAATACACGTTTTGGGTTACCCTGAGTCCAAATAACCAAGTCCCGAAAAATAGTCTGTGTGTGCGTGTGTGTGTGTGTGTGTGTGTTAGTAGTTTAGCTCAAAAACGAAGTCGTACAAAACTGATATTACGTATTTATGATAGGTATATAATTAAGTATCAACGTCCGTTTATTTCGAAATATTGTCATGTAACTTTTTGGAAAATTAAATTAGTGAATAATTTGATGAATCTTTCCTTTGTGATATTCCAACAGTATCCACTACTATTTCATTATACTTGTGTGAAAGAAGAAGTGAAATATAAAAATATTTCATAGATACGTTTATAACCTTAAATATATTTACTGTATTTTATAACTCTTGATCTGATATTATATTTAAATATTTAGGTATCGATCCTCCGTTTATTCCGAAAAATCATTTTGTAACATTTTAGAAATTTAAATCAGTGAATAGTTTGATGAAATTTCTTTTTTGATATTCCAACTTAGAATTAGTGTGACAACTTTTGACCTGACTATCACAGACAATGCAAATCTCTTAAATCCGTTTTAGTAAACTTTGCAATGGAAAATGATAGTTTAATAACTAATAGTCGTACAATCCATAATTAAGGTGTCATAAAATCCATAATCAACCAGTGATATAATGAATAGGACTTTTGTTATTTTAATGGTATTTATGATTTGTTAGCTGTATTTTTTTTTATATTTAGCTGGGTTAAAAATGCAATTCAAAAATTTGACAATTGACCAGAAAATAATTTCTATTCAAAATGGAGCGGTAAGTGAAAGTTGAGTGTTGAGCGCACCAGATTTTTTCTATTGACCTGTTAATTATTAATCCATACATTTTATTATATATTCGTCCTTCTTACCTTTTATTACCATGTCTAAATATTCCAATGACTTGAGGTCATTATAAGATATTTCAGATTCACTAGATAGGTTAGAGTCGATCTCATTCTGGACTTTTTGTCTTATTTCATCATGACAAGCCAGCTCATAAAATATACAGGACATCGTAATCGAAGTGGTTTCGTAACCGCCTATGAAGAATGAAAACGCCTGCGCTGCAATCAGGTCATCGGTGAATTCTGCAAAGTTAATTAAAGTTAGTTAATAGTTACCTATTTTAACTTCTTATTCCATATATTGTTGTAATAATATTTAAGGAATGTTGTTTACAGCAATTTATCTTACCCAAATCTTAATTATTTATTAATATTTGATATATAATATTCGATATGTGATATATTGAGATGGTTTATTCATCAGCCATAGATCTACCAGGTCTGTAATCCTAACAGAAAAAAACTACCAAAAAAACAATTGTTTATAATTAAATAAAAATCCTCTGTTTATTTTACTCTCTAATGCCTTTTGTTCCTGTTTGATAGCTGTTCATTAAATTTTAATATTTATTCATCCATGGTCACAGGAATTGATTTCGTAAATAAAAAAATGGTCCTGACGATTTATATGTATTGTGATCATCTGAGAATTCTTTCGTACGGAGTATAACAATTGATAACTGACTGTTCAAAATATTTTTAAGGTATAGGTGAGAACTATGGATTTATCTACAGAGTTTAGAACCATGAGGACCATTTTTCGAATTATCTAGTTTTTCCATGAGAACTCTTAGCCCTCGTACTTATAGCCCTCCAGCAGTGGCTGATTGTATTCAATAAAGAGATTAAAAAAAAAAAAAGTTTTTCCTTGTGACCATTGATATTCTCCCCTGAATACAATAGTGGTAATGTAGTAACGCTATTTGATTAGTGGAATGAAAAGAGAAAAACAAATTAAAAATAATATCGCGCTACTGTTAGTACAAAAGATCGTATATAATTTTTTTTTTTTTTTTAAAGAAGAGCATTAGAACGGATTATTTCTTTATGACTTATTAGTATAATTTAATATTTTATTTACTTCTGCTATTTTCCTATTTAGCAAACTAGTTATAGCAGTTGCAGACTACAAAATGTAATGTGTAGAGCAAAGAAAATATACAAAATTTAACTTAGGACCTTTTGCACTAACATTACCGATATGTGTTAATGATACGTCCGATTGGATCCACATGCTATGTATTAAGGAACCCTATGGCACACCTCCACCTCATAACAAAAGGTCTTATCCCCAGATGTCAAAAGTGTGACCAGTCAACCAAAAAACATGTTTTGGAAGAGTGCCCTTTTTACACCGCAAGGTTAAAAGATCTCGGAATACCCCAGAATATATCAGCATCCCTGAGAAATCAAGAAGAAATCGTTACCAAAGTTACCAAGTTCCTAGATAATGAAAGACTTAAACAACATATATGACAAAATTTATAACTAATGGTCGTTTGCAGATTTATTATTATTTTTTATTTAATTTTAAAAGTTCATTTGTTTATTAATTTCAATTCATTTATTAATTTTATTGCCATTTTTTAAAAGATTATCTATTCTATCTTATTATCTATAAGTGTCTATTGTTATTTTTATTTATTTATTTTATTCTATCAATCCTCTTATTTATTCTTATTTTTTGTACCAACCATCCAAACAGAATAAAAGTAGTGTTATTTAGTTGATCGGTCGCTGATAGATGTTTTGCGCCTAGGCATCGAAACAAAGGAAACGAAGCAACCCTATGTAGTATGATAGCATTTCTTTAAATAAAGCATTTCTCTCTTTAGTAACTTACTAATTGTCGATGTCCTGTTGAATTCCGTTACAGTTGCTTCATCTTCTTCTAGCATTTTCATAAGTAAATATATGAAGTCTACACGTTTCTCTCCGCTCATCCTCCTTCTCCTTATCGTCTCCGAAACTAACGAGCAAAAGAAATCATTGACATCCTTACCATAGGCTCTTATATTGAACTTTTTGAACAGCTGTGGGTACAGGGTTCTCAAGTGTGCTTTGAACATGTGCCAGTTTCCTGGTCTAAACGCCGCTTTCCCCATCTTGATAAAGTCGTGGTTCCGATTCTTAAGGCATTGCAGTTCCAATCCGAAAGCACAAGAGGCGATGGCGTCGATCGACAACTTTCCACATATCTCCATGATGTCTATCGGACTGTCTTTCGATTCATCGATATAAGAGAGAAAATTCTGAACGCAGATTTCTAGCAGCGAGAACATACTTTTCAATTTCTCGGATGTGAATGTAGGCGTCAGCTTAGCCCTGAGAAATTTCCACTTGTATCCGTTGAGGGCTAACAGATGTTGTGACAACGGGTCTTTGTTCCCTTCTGTGTAATCCGACTGTCTCTTGTTCTGGAAAATCCTGAATTCTTGATTAAGAACCAAGTTTATGACATGAGGGCTTCTGATCAAGAGGGCTGGTTTTCGGAACTGAAAAAATCCGCAACACACATTTCCTTTACCGTGTTTATAAACTGTAGAAAGCAGCGAGTATCGGATGAGAAACGAATCGAATATGTTTTTACTAAACAGCGGCGTCGCTGGTAAATACACAATGTTTCTTTTCTTCCAATACGATGTTCGTTTGTAGTTTTGTACCATCAGGTAGAAGATAATCGGTATTAACAACGGAATACCGATAGATATTAAACTGATCCAAAATTGATTTAGATCCACCATCTTACAAATAGAATAATATGATAGCAAGAGTAAAATATATCACCTAGTTTCCAAACCCGAACTGAATTGTTTTTGGTTGGTTCATTCTCTTTAGGCAATGCCGGTAGACGATAAATGTTATTTATTGCTATTATCTTTAAAAGCCGACGTCATAAAGTTCCTGATAGAGTATTCCAGTGAGTAGTCTTATTATTTTAGTCCTAATTTGGACTGCTTAGTTGCTGATTAAAAAAGTCTTTAAGATAAAAACAATGACTCAAAACCTAAAAATGAAAATATAATGAGAATTTGCCAATATGGTGCAGCTAGTATTATGATAAATTCTGTATATTTTTATAAAGAAAAAAAACATGCTGACTGGCACCATAAGATGTACTGAATTAGGATAGTACTATAATACTATAATTCTTCATAGTGCATAAGGATTTTGTAATTTTCGTGTTGAAAAAATAAAAATACATGAAACTTCTGAAGAAACTTATTATAGTTTACTCTATCCATGAAATACCACCAGGCAGTATTCCCAAACAAGTGTAACCTTTGGGAGGTTAGCTCTGTCTACTAGAGTTTGAACAAAATTGATTATGGAATAACACTAGGGGATCCAGGATTTAATTTTGGGGGGGGGAGCTTCAGCCCGAAAGCTGTTTTTTTCATAAAAACAACGATAATTACTTAGGAAAAAAAGAAAGAAACTAACTACCTATATGAAATGGTGTCTAAGTGATTCCTAAAGCCCTTTTAAATGTAATTACACTAACATTAATACTTTAAGAGATACTTTTTTAATATTTTTTACGATAAAACATGGCTATATTTTACCATTTTGGAGGGGGAGGGGGGCTTCAGCCCGAAAGCTCCCTCCCCCCCTTAGATCCACCCGTGTGGAATAGCATATTTACTCTACTCTTAATATTTAATAGTAAATAATTTTTTTTTTTCGTTCTCTCCATTCACGCCTTTTAGACTACAATAAGTTTTCCCTGGGTCAGAGAAGAGGGCGGGGGGTTAATGCTAGAGTTAAAAGCTCCCGACACCCGAACACGGACTCGTAATTATTTCATCATTCAAACTTCAGTTTATCAGGTTGCCGGGCAACGCGTGTTTTGCACATGTTTTCGCCTGTTGAGACAACCCCTCCTCGATAATTAATACATAAATACAATATAATTAATATTTAATGATTCGGAATTAAAAATTTAATGCTAATTTGAATATTTTGCCAACAAAGTTGACTTATTCATTATTAACGATATTTTTTACTTTCCTAAAGTTTTGCTTTTTCTTTTTTATTAATGTATTTATTTTATATTACTTTACATTTATTTTATATTTACTTATCATTCTTGAAACTTTAATTTTAGTTATTAGCATATTATTATTGAAGTTATTGTGAATATTGTTAGAATTTTTGTCAATGTAGTTTTTGGATTATGTGATTTTATGTAGCGTTTTTTTAAAAAAAATATTTCTATATTAATGTTATTCTCAATGAACTTAGTCCTAGAGTAAAGTTTATTTTTCTAAAAAAAAAACAACACAGTTTTTAAAATATAGCAAACTGAAAAGAAAAAAAACAATCAAGTAGTGTCATCAAAATACGGAAAGAATTTTTTTTTTAGCACGTGCTCAAAATGAAAGTAGCAGTTACAGCTGCTATTAATTAACGCTTAGATTAAAACAAGTTTAATCTTGATAGATTGACCTTAGAAAACTTGGTTTAATCTTAGATAACGCTTGATCCACTCTTAACTAAGTTGGAACAACTGGCCCTAACAGTGTTACCTGTTACAGTGTTTTCCTTCGGTTTGACTTAATCATTAACGATAGAAAATTTCTCAGTTAAACGCACTCTTTATTAAACCGTCGTTTTAAAATAGTGACGCTTTGATACTCCTTTCTAATTTTTTCCTCGTTTTCATAAATGCCTTTTTTTTTTTTGCGGGCACATTTTTATAACAGTATCAGTTTTTTTTTTATGATTAGAGCTTAAAATTTAAGGCTTCATTGCTTAAAAAAATCTAACCATATGGCACAAAACTGTATTGTTGATTTATTAAAAATGTTTGTTACTTGGTGTCAAACAATTATTTATGGATTAGTTAGATATATTTATAGTTTATATTCGCTTGTATATGACTCTTAGATTTTGTGATATTTTTTTTTATATTTTCCAATGGCGGCAAAAACAGGCTATAAACACAACTGTAAGATTAAACTTTCAAAAGATTTAAGTATTACTAATTGGATTGTGATATATTGAATCATTATATGAAATAATAAATATGTATTCTTTAAGCCCCTGGGCCGAAATATTTGCTATCGACAACCATCGGGCCTAATTGTACAGACCCGACCATCAAGTCTCCACCCGGCTGTGTGATAGGAAATCTCCCCATTAAAACTTACAGAACATTTAGCCCTGCACCTAACAAGTATGATACTTCTGGATATAATCGGAATGGCAAAATGTCCTCTCCTGCGTTTTACTTCGGCACAAAATCTCCTTTACTAAGTAAGTAATCCAACTTCATTACTAATGTAAAAGGCAGTTTAGTGTAGTTGGAATTAAACTACAATAACATACCGATGTACAAAATTAACACACCACTAAAATATTTATATAAACAAACGACTTTATTTACAACACATATGCCGTTACTTGTACCCTGTCGCCATTTCTTTTTGTCATAACAGTCTTACTCTCGGAGTCCCCTTGCTGCTATAACCTCATGTAAACCTACCAACCATTTCTTTTTCCGAGCGACCTCTCTTCTTCCTTTGCAATGATACTTTAGCAAATATTCTTTTAGGCCATCCTTCGTTCGTCGTTATCATTACATGCCGAAACCAATTCAGCTTTTTTGTCTCGATGGAATACAGAATGTTAAGGAGGTTGTTCACTTTATCCCTAATAAATTATTTGGAGTATGTTGTAGTCTTGATGTTCTACAGCTAAATCTCCAAAAATCCATCTCTGTTGATAACAATTTTTTTTGCTGAGTCGGTTGAAATCGTCCTGGTTTCTTTGGTATATAATAAATACAGTGCTTACAACAATGAAATGCGATAGTCTCTTTTTCGTTTGGAGCATTAAGTCTTTATTCAATAAAACAGAAAGTCCGTTTGACCTTTCTACCTCTGATGACATTTTCATCAATATCTTTTTTGCTGTTGCCCCCCTTCATAAGCCTACAATATTTTGAGTTAAAATTAAACTAGTTTTCTTTATTTATTGATATTTAGGAGAAAATTTTTGAATATAAACCATTAATAATGCTTTGTTTACTCTTGATGGTTGTTTTAATCTTAATTTCAACAGACAGTAGCATTACATTGATTCAATTGCAGCAGCTTTCCAATCATGAAATCCAAGGATAGTTTGGGCATCTTCTATTCCAAAGATATGTTGTTCATTTTCTCAATAATCTCTGAGTCAAGGCTCATTTTAGTAATTATTCATTACTTTCATCAATCGTTTCTATTTAACTTCTTTACTCACTAGTATTTCATGTATGATTGAACATTCCGTGAACATTGTCACCATGAAAAGCATCATCTGTTCAACCAGGTTTTTGTTTGAGAATCCTGCGTTTTCTAGATATTGTTTGAAGTTCATTTTATGTGAGCTGTCCACTTCCATCTTGTAAGACATAAATATTTAAAGCTTAAATTGTGCAGTTTCTGAATTGTCTTTCTTCGCCATTCCTGTTCAATCACGCTACATCATGCCATTTCCTACATCAACAAAATTTAAAAATAGTACTTCTGACAGATGCAGTTGTTCATGATTGATAACAAAGCTGGAGAAAAGCTATTGTGAATTGATCTTATAACTAGGAAAACTATATTTTTTTCCTCCTGTACCACGCCTTTTCATCTATATGGATATTTTCCCTGGATCAGGGGAGAGAGCAGAGGATTAATGTCAGAGTAAACATCAGCCAGCATCGAGACTCGGAATTAGTAATCTTCAGTTTATCAGGTCGCCTAGCAACAACACGTGTTTTGCACAAGCGTTAACCTATTCCGTCTCCTCGCCCCAATTAAATCACATTTTTATATTTATATCACATTAGATTTTGTCGTGGATCTCTACAAACAGTAGTTTTATGGGAAGTGAGAAAGCAGACAGACTGATTATAGTTTGGTCACTTCAACTACAGACTAATGTACAATTTTCTCTGGGTGAAGTTTTTAATATTAGGAAATTACTTGAGGAAACAAATGAGGCTTAGATGAAAACTTTTACACCACAACGACACAAAAACAGCTTTATTCTTCTCTACATGTCACAATAACAAACAAAGGAATCCTACTGAGGTTCCTTAACCCAAGCCAACCTGCTATATTTGTAACAGCTGAGCAGTGTTGCCAAAAATGATGCATTCACTTAACAAAGTTAATCCGTACATATATTATTACAGTAAGGCTCGAAAACGGTTTTGTACCAAATATAAGCTCCTGTCATGCTCAAATACCATAAATGGAGTACCGTTGGATTCAGAATTTCACGGGGGGTTAGCGAACCGTATTCCCCACTTTTGTTTTTCTTTCTAAAATAAATAAAGTCGATAAAAACATTTTTCTAGGCAATACCTGAACAGTGGTAGGTCTGTAGATCGATACGGGACAAATTGGATCTAGAAGATTTTGATTCGTACAGCAAGTCCCGGATAGTTCCTCCGGAACTATCGAATCCTGCGTTTTTAAGCCCAAAAACGTACTATTTTCGAGATAACGCAAGGCATAGGGTTCGCATCCACACAATCTTACATTAATTGTAGTACTGTCATTGAATACATGTCTCATTTCATCGACTTGAGGTCTCTATGATCGAGAGAGGAGGAGTTTATATTATTTATCGATGGTGTTTTTGATCGGCAAGCCATATCATCGTCAATTTTTCACCAAATCTCAAGATTGAGCCACCAATTTCGAAGGCTTCCTTCTCCTTCAGGCGGAAAAAATAGTCCAATCATCCAGAAAATTCAGGCAAAAAAGTTATAAAAGAAAACAAACTTTATTTGCGAATAACTAAAAAATTACACACTTTTCTCTCGGTTACGCCTGATGATTATATAGAAGATTACTAAATTCCCTACAAAAGGAAAACAGAATCATTGAAATCGGACAATTTTTAGCAAAGATACAGCTTACTGAAATTTGTAAACATGTTGGTTCCAAATTTGATTTTTGTTTTCTTTGTCGATTATATTTATCGATAAAGTAACATTTGATTTCTTTATCTTTTGATAGGTTGCATTATTTTATTTTCTTATTAATCTGGCATTTGATAACAATATGCGAATTTTTCGCACGGGCCTACTAGTACCATAAATAAAGCTGGAGTATCATACCATAAGGTAAAGATGGAGTAGCAAACTTTCTCATATCAATTCTAAAGGTCCTTACCATAGACTAAATGGAAAAGAACACTTAGTATAGACTTTAAATTAACTACAATGGACTTAGATAATACCTATCTTTATTAAAATTCAAAATATGAAATGATTCCCCATGTGGTAATGTAGTTGAAAACAAACAGCTTAACGCATCCTTTAGGTTTATAACCTCCTTGTAGAAGCTAATGGGTGTTATATCTATAGATATGACCCGAAAAAATAGATAACTGACCGGACTTGACCGTGTACTTTGGAAAGAATGAAGAAGTCCATGACTCCTAAAATAAATAGTAAAACTGATTTTTTTTGTAACAGATTCATAAACAAAGTCATTCACTCTGGATGATAAACCAAAATCGCAAAATATTAACCTTATAATACTATTATTATAGGTTCGAGAAACATTATTCCGAGCCCTCAAAGATATGGGACGCACCTCTGCCCGGACACCCGCCATGTTAGACCACCTGCTTGGGAACTCGGGAACCCTTACCACCGTTCGTACAAGATGGCGGGTCCAGCGCCGAAGTACATGATACCAAAGGTCACAGGAGCATTTCCCCCTGACCTGCCTAATGTTCCCGCCTACACGATGTAAGTGGCTGTGTATAATTGTATTCATGTTCATGCATGAACGATGTGAAACAGAGTGAGATTAATGTTTTCATTATTTCTTAAAATAATTGTTATTTTAATAATTGTGTCTAGAGATGTAATGAGTAGATGTTTAAAGTATTTTTTTTTAAATAGTTTTTTATTTTAATAAATAATTATTTTATAGTTTAGGAAGAGATGCATTGAAGTATTCGAAATCCTCTTCGCCGGGTCCTGGAAAATATGGACTCACAGATCCAGGCTTGTATCTTACCAGAGCGCCATCTCCTGCGATATTGTCGAAACGGAAAGAATCCACGTAAGGTTTTCGTTCAAGTTTTTTATATATTGTTATTGATTGGTCATAGCCAATAACATTTAGTATTTGACGCCCGAATGTTATTGGTTATGAATAGAGACCGGATTTCCATGTTATTGCACTTTTTATTTCCTTGCGTATAAAAACTCCGGACCCGAACGTATATCCGTTTTAGAACCTGTAGAATATCATATTTAAATTTTATATTGCACGTTTTGCCGTTTTTGGCTTAAATTGCATGATTTTTGCACTTTTGCGCTAAATTAGACGATTTATGAATACAAGTGTGTAAGTGAGTGTGTTAATCTATATTTTACTTTTTATTTTACTATATTGTTCAAATTCAATTCATTATTCAAAATAGAAAAATATGAGGAAGGCAAGTAATTCATTGTGAAGTAAAAATCTTATTCATTACAAAAGTAAGAAGAATAATAAGTGAGATCTATTCTTGGAGTAGAACTTGCCTAAAGTATTGTATAATAAAAGCTACTTTTCTAGAATTAGCTACTTTGTTAGTAAGACATTTATAGTTTAGTTTTTTTTGTATGAATCCCCACTCACCGTTCAACCCTTCAGTTTCACTTCTGGCTTTAATTTGCTTTGTAATTATAAAAAAAAAATTTAAAAAAATTAAATTGCTGAAAGTAAAATCTAGATGTAAAATACCCCGATGTGAAATGTGAGGACAAAGAATTTGATGAAAAAGTTCTATACACCTTATGAATCAATCAGGTGATAGGAAATCACTGATAGACCCTCATTGGGGAACAAGTAAGAAAAAAATATTCTTATTAAAGAATTGAATGTTTTTTAGAAAGAACGTAATCCCCAACAATATATTTTTTAGTGGTATAGAAAAACAGCTTCAACATTAATTCTTGAACACTTGAAAATCTCAAACATTACAGTATATTTCAAAATTCTTTAAATTTTATCAAAAACTTTTGGGAATGTATAATATTGGAAACTTCAACTCTATTACAAAATAAAATTTTCATTATTATTTTTAATAAAATTATCTAAAATTGGTCTGATCTATGTAATATATACATAATTCCTGCCTTCATTTATTCTTTCAAGCCTTCAATGCTCTGCATTATTTGATAATAATCGTTATTATAATAGTTGATTTTAATCTGGAATTTCTTTTTCAATGTTATATTTAAATTTTTTTATCTCTCGGTTAACTCATTGATCTGATAAGATTTCGATGTATTGATGTTATAAATTAAACAATATTGATGATTTTACACGTTTTTAGGTGTTAAGTGCACAATTTTACGTGTTTTGGATTTATACTGCACGATTTTGCACATTTTGAGTTTTTTACTGCACATTTTCCGGATTTATACGTTTATATGTTTTGCACGAAAATCCGGTCTCTAGTTATGACATCCAGATTGAAAACAGCCTAGTTCCAAGAGTTTTCGTAAATAAAATAGTTGTAATGATGTAGAGATGGTTGACATTGATATAATGTGAGAAGGAGTTAGTCGGGGGTGCGGTCAAATAAATACTAAATTAAAATATATTAATTATTTTAATTTTTGCCGACGTTTCGACCCACTTTGCAGGTCGTCTTCAGGGCTACAAAAGATACAAAACATGTTGAAAATAAAAAATAAATATAAGTAGATATAAAATAAGAAGAAGTTGTCAGATACAGAAATAAAAGATGGTATCAGAGATATAGTGGGTGACAATGTAGTTAAATATTAATTATTATATATGTAAAAGATACAAATAAATGGAAAATAAGTATGAATAAAAATAAAAATAAAGGAGAATATAGCATGTAAGTTAAAAGTAAACAGATTGCGATAAAAGATAAGGAATAAGTGTATAACAAACTAATAGAGATTACAATTAATAACTGTAGGCTAACAGATAAAGAAAAATACACTTATTCCTTATCTTGTATCGCAATTCTACATATATAATACTTAATATTTAACTACATTGTCACACACTATATCTCTGATACCATCTTTTATTTCTGTATGTGACAACTTCTTCTTATTTTATATCTACTTATATTTATTTTTTATTTTCAACATGTTTTGTATATTTTGCAGCCCTGAAGACGACCTGCAAAGTGAGTCGAAACGTCGGCAAAAATTAAAATAATTAAAATATTTTAATTTAGTATTTATTTGATCGCACCCTCGACTAACGCCTTCTCATAAAATAGTTGTAGGTTACGATGAGATGAAACTATTCATGAAGTTTCAGACGGATGTTAGTAATTCGATAAAAAGGGGTCTGTACTACCGACTAACCATTCTAATAATATATCAATATTAGGAGATACCGAGGCCATCTTCTTTTTAAACGTTTTGTGGGGTTATCAAAGATCAAAGAGGAAGCAAAGTTTGAAACGAGAGGGTTGCACCTCCCCTTCTTCCCAAGAAGAAATTACTTGGTCCCATAGTTGTTTTCAATCCTGACAGAAAATCCTTGAAGTGTTCTGAGTCTGTGCTCCGCCCAACTTGTGTTCATATCATAAGATATTGATTTCGGTGAGCATTTCTATTTGGCCATTCTCTTCCATTCGATCAAGCCTCCATGCGGAAAAAAAATGATGTTACATATTCTTCGATATAAAAGTCAATCCTTGTATTCTCGGATCAACCCTGTATGTTTAGTTTAAGATTATTTGTCCAGTCTGTGCCTAAGTTATTGATACAAGCTAGTAGCTTATCTACCTTTATTTTATCTAACTTTAAATCAACTTTTCAGAATTCATTCTCAAACGATACCAGGCCCAAAATACTCCGCTAACTATAATTGGAAGGTCGACCCGCCATCTTACACTTTTGGTATGAAGCATTCTATGTACGAAGTTATAACCTATATGCCTGAAGATAAGCAGCCATTTTTTGGGTTATAATTCAGTATTTGAATCTATTTCAATGGTAACTTGAATAAAATACAAGCAATTAAATTGTTGGATTTATTCTTCCAATTACTGTAATCACCTCTGGTTATACAGTCGGTTCATCTTGATTGCGGTGAATATTTCATTTTAACATAATTATGTAAAACACTTACTATCCATATATATATATCCATAGTATTAGTAGTTTCGATTTAAACTATACTGGTTTATTTAAAATAGACTAGTTTATTGTTTTGCTCTAATGTTTTATCAAACAACTGTAGCAAAAAATAAATTAAGCGTTTAGCCTCAGCTGTTATGCCAGGATTTGAGGCCCATCAATATGGCAGAGGCATAGGCACCCTCGTAGGCAGCCCGTGGTACAGACCTCTTTGTTATCAAATTATTAACATCCGACTAAAACTTCGTAAATAGCTCCATATCATCTTAACTTACAAATATTTTATTTACGAAAATTCCCGGAATTGGGGCGTTTTCAATCTGGGGGTCGGTACACTTTGTCTACTTAATTAGGTACTTAAAACTCGCAAATATCCATTTGCTTTCCACTTGAACATTAAGATAACATGAGTACAAAGTCGAGAAAAAAGGTGGCCTTCAAAAATATTGGTACGTTTGGCGTGACCTACAATCCCAAATTGTCAAAATAACGACGTTATATAGGCCAAATGACACAATATCTTTGAAGGTCACATTTTTTCTCGACTTTGTGCTGAAGTTATCTTATGGTTCAAGTGGAAAGCAAATGGATATTTTTGAGTTTTTAGTACCTAATTAAGTAGACAAATTTTACCGACCTCCAGATTGAAAACGTCCCAATTCCGAGAATTTTCGTAAATAAAATATCTGTAGGTTACGATGAAATGGAGCTATTTACGAAGTTTCAGCTGGATGTTAATAATTTGATAAAATGGGGTCTGTACCACGGACTATCAAATAATATAATATTTATAGCATTATCTAGAAAGATTTTAACGGTCGACGAAAAATCTATATCCTTTGGGCTCTACAACCCTGAGTGGGTCTTGACCTCTTCAATAAGCCCCCACTATTCGGGGACACTAGCGGATCCAGGATTTAATTTTGGGGGGACTTCAGCCCGAAAGCTTTTTTTTTCATAAAAGTAACGATAATTACTTTGGAAAATAAGAAATAAACTAATTACCTATATGAACTGATGTTTAAGTGATTCCTAAAGCCCTTTTAAATGTAATTACACGAATAATTGTACTTTAAGAGATAATTTTTTTTATATTTTTTCCGATAAAACATGGTTATATTTTACCATTTTGGGGGGAGGGGGCTTCAGCCCGAAAGCCCCCCCCCCGTAGATCCGCCCGTGTTCGGGGGTCCTGTCTGGAGGTTTCGTCTGCCCACATTGACCTTGGTCTTCCAGTTCTTTGAGTCCTATGAATAACCTCTTCAGATACTTTTCTCGGTATTTCTTCTTCACTCATCCTAGCCACGTGACCAGCCCAACTAAGTCTCTCAAGCTTAATGATAATGAATCTGACCACGCCTTCCTCCTTGTAGATTTGGTACAGCTCTCGGTTAAGAAAGCGTAGGATTTTACAACTCAACTCGGTGATTTGTCAACAAGTGTCGGAAAAAAACTTCTTCTTTTTACCGAATTGAGTGCAAAATTTAGTAGTAGTGTTCTAGACTTTATTATAAAACTGTATTTTTAAGTTGACAGCTCGTTCTAAGAAATTTTATGAATATTTCCCGGTGAATAAGTATATGTTTTACAAAATTTTAAAGAAAGTAAAGTTCAAGGTGGCAAAAAGATGGTGTTCTTTTACTAACCGAAAATTTGTCCTGAAGAAAGTCTAACGGTAAAGGCAGAAATAAAAAAAACATGAAAAAATTCAAAACTTATTTTTTAAATAAAAGAATAATAAAAAAATATTCAGCATTTGAGTTTTGTTTTTTAACCATGTTTCCACAAAGGTGATCAGTGAATCGCAAATCTCAGTCTCCAATTCTTCAGGACCTCTGTGTGATCTGTTTCATATCTATCATTGGATAATGAATATTTCTGACATATGATATGATTTCATACATCTAAATATAATTGTAAGTGGCTCAAACTAAATTATGATCATTATGATTTAATGAAATCACATATATAAGAAATTATGATTGATATGATTTTTGACATTTATTTAAAATATGCTTGTTTGGTATTTGGAAAGAGGCGGAGTAGAACGATACCATCTTTTGGGTACAAAATTCCGTAAAACATTAATCATGTGGAATAAGTTATATTGATGATTGATCTTTACGTCATTAAATGTTCGCGCTGAATTGATTGATACATGAAACGAGTTCGTATCCTTAATGGTAATTTAAGGGCTAACTAAAATTAAGTAAAAATAATAGTTCTTAAATTGTCATTCAAATAAAAGAAAAATTTTTGTGTTTTTCATTAAAGTTTTAAACGTATTGTATGAAATCAACAAACAGTTTCCTCTAAAAATTGTTTAAATATATAATTAAATGTTTTAAAGAGTTGTAAAACGCGACGTGTTTTTTGCAGAGTTTGAAATCAATAGTTAAAAAAATAAAATAAAATCCGATCAAAATTTTTACCTGAAATTTTCAAAAATCATTTCATGGTTTTTTTGCCTTCTCACTACCGAAGGTAGGAAGCATTGTATTCGTGCGAGAGGTTAAACAAATTTTTGTACTCAGAATCGAAAATTTCCACTCGCGTTTTAAGTTTCAGACATCAAGGATCACATTTGGTTCGGTGTCTGTCGTCTGTCTGTCTGTAGTCCAATCGATGTGACGGGCATATCAGGGATTGTGCGGGTTGTTACCTAGGTGGTCCCATATCAATTTTATCAAATTCCATTCAGCACTTCCGCTTACGCACGCGCGTATTTTTTAAGATATGCCAATATTTCATAAAAGGCTCGTTCGATTTGGCTCAAAATTAGATAAAACATAGGTATTGGTAAACAAATAATATAATGTCAATTGTATTGAATTCTGTCCATTACTTTCTCTTATATACAAATATGTTTTCCTTGATACTTGTAAAGCTCTAAAACCGCTCGTTCGATTTGGCTCAAATTTGGAGGGAAATTAGGGATTGGTAAACAGATAATCAAGTATGTATGAATTTTATCAAATTCTATCCGCTTCTCCAAAAAAAAAAAAAAAATGCTTCCGCTTTTAAATCAGGAAATTTATTATTTTACACGCCTATAGTTTAAAAATTGTGCGTTCGATATGACCCAAATTTTTAAGGAATACAATAAAATAAATTAAATTAATTATATATTAATTAATTAATATAAATAATTGTTAACAATATAATGGTTGTGAAATGTGGAAGGCTCATCTGGAGTGGGAGTTAGGTTAAGACAATATTTTTATAAGGTTACAAACTTTTAATTATTATTCAAAAAGTTAATGTATAATGTATTGTTTGGTCGACTCCAAACGTTACTGGCATGATACTTACTGCCGTTACTTAGATTTCGTGTAAATTAATTAAATTTAAATAAATTTTTTCTCTGAGTTTGTGAAAAAACAGTCTTATCTGTGATTGAGTTTATTTCTATTGAAGTTTAACCAACTCATCGTGGTCTCGATTTCCACCTTAAATATAGAAGTTGTGTGAACTTCACAAATATTTTTATATTCCAACTTAATTAGTTTTCTTCTGACTGAAAAAAAATATTAGTCTCTTTAACTCCGAACAAACAAAAGTTGAATTGTTCCTATGGATTTTTTTGTTTCATATATTTTACGAGTGAAAACATACCTATTAAGTATATATCACTACTGTTAGTGCAAAAGGTCTTATGTCATAATATTCAACTTTTATTCTATTTGTGCTAAAAGTGATATTTTTTAGCCTGCACAGCTGTAGTTGGTATAAGCAGTCTGCTACGGTGGAATTTACTAGAGGACAATAAAATATAAAGTTATACTAATAAATCATAAAGAAACAATTAGTTTTTATTCTCTTATGGAAAGCAATCAATTTTTGCATACATTAATGTTCAGTATGTACTGGATTTTTCTTTTAATCACGAATCATCAAATGTATAATCTGCAAATGCGAAACTCTTTTGCATTTTAGTATTTGCTGATGAACGAAATCCGTGGAAGGGGCTGTATAGGACTTCTGTGGGAGTGTTGGGCCGACGAAAGAATGAAAAAAAAAAAAAACCGTTGAAATCAAACCTGTATATGTTCAGGGATTACCTTTCCGAAAACGGCTTCTCCTATTGATTTTATTCTCATACGAATACTTTTTGACCTTGTAATACAGATATTTGTTAGCCAATGAAAACGGTGAAAGGATGAGGAAGCTATACTGACTTTACTTGGCAGATTTTTTTTCCATTGTGGTAATGCCTCCATTCCGAAGGGTCATTGGCATTTCTTATATTTCAACACGCAGTGGTAAAACCTGATTTCTTTTAAGAGTTTGGTCACCAGTTTCCGAGTCTTTAAGGACTTCTCGTATATTGAAACTCAACTTCAGTTTTTTTCTTACTGGTGCATACTGCTAGCATTCAATCAGTAAGTGAGTGACTGTTCTGGAAGCACTACGCGCGACACTGTTTGTAAGGGCTTCCATACCGCGGAGAAGATATCCATGAGAGGATTCGCTGATTTTTATTTTTGATCGTAAGTGATACAAATCATATCTTGGTCATTATTTTTCAACAAAATTTTTACAATTAACAATAATAATAATTTTTGAGTATTATCTATGTAAAGTAAATGTGTATCTAAATGTAAATATTTTACTAACTACAAAATAAAAAGAATGTGAAGAAACATTTTTTTAAATTTAATTTTTGTTTTATTTATACATTTTTTAACATAATTATGTCTAAGGGAAAGATTTTAAATACAATTCAAGGATATTGTAATTTATATATCATACTAAAAAAATACTATACATTTTTGGTTTTTAATGCGAATAATTAAAACCCAACTAATTATTTTTTCTAAAATAATTAATTGATATTTTTAGGACTCAATGATTGATTTAAAATATAACGAAAAGATACATTAATTTATATAACACATAACAATATGCTTAACATTATATACTTGTTTATTTTATGATCAATAATAAAACATTCGTTCAATAATAAACTAATAAGTTTAACTCGATTTACAACATTACCCTATTTATTATTATATTTTTAACCCGCAAAGTCCCAAATTATCCTCTTTTCGGTATGAAATATTTTTCATTTCCCGAAAAATGGTGTTTTTTTACCAGCGGTCACGCGTGTCGAGCGGAAAAAATAAACAAAAATTAATTGCGGTGAGGCGGGTAGAAGCGGTTTAAGTCTATATGACAGCCATTCGATGTATAACCAATAAACCAATAACCAACTCCGGACACATCCACCCTCTGTGTAGAAATTAGATTAAACTTAATTTTAGCTTCATTCACAACAAGGCCAATGGTTGAAGCCGTCCTCATAAGGTTGAGGAATGCTTCTTCTACTTCTGACCGCGACCTTGCCACTAAATCTATGTCGTCCAAGGTCAATGGCGCATGAATCATCCTCTTCAAAAATTCTATTTCTCTCCTCTTCTTAAAAACAATACAAGCGAAAGTAGGAGTGTTAACTTGCGTCATGAAATCTCCTTCTGGGCACCTCTGCAATAAAGTATCTGCATATGGGAGAAGATTGTGCCTCGCGCCTGTATTCCGGAGTCTCTCGCCACTTTTTCTAGCGAAAAATTAAGTAGAAGACTAGCCTGATAGAAATGAATTCAGATGAGCAGTTGACGAAAAATACAAAATATAATTTATTCTACTTCGTTTCAATAAAAAACATGGAAACACAGATTACAGCAAACAAAAGCGTTTTTATTACGCACTTGTTTCCAAGATCTATTTTATAATAAAGGTTTTTAAAATGCTTACCAAAATGTTGGCATGAAAGTTTTTATTATACAGATATGTTACAATGAAACTAGATATTAACATAATTGGACATTGTTTCCTAAACTTTTCAAAAATCTAATTTCGAATTTAAAAAAATGTTTCGCACTGTATTATTATTGTATCGCGTTAACTCTGTATTTAACATGAAATCCCTTGAAATGATGAATTCTGGAGCGAAGTGTGCATTTCGAGAAATAGGAAAATCTGTGCTGAATAATCTTAATGACTTGAAACTTTTCTGTTTATTTCGGAATTTATTTTACTAACTTCTTTTGAAACTGATTGGAACAGTGTTTAATAGAGGGAGGGATGGATTGAGGAGGAGGAAGATAATGTAAGGATTGCTTATGTTATAAAACATAAAATCTTAAGCCACATAGAATACAATAGATTCAAAAAATATTTATTACAATACAATTAAAATAGATTAATAAAAAAAACAACAAAAAAACAACATGACCCTTTCTTTAAATAAAAGGTTCTTAAAAATGTTTTATATATAAAAAATAATAATTCTGTATTATTTACCACTACTTGAATGCTCTACGTTTTCTTCTTCATTCACTTTAAATTGCAGAAGAACGATTAGGTAGGTTAGGGTATTGGATATCAACTGGAAAATAATTAGAATTTTAATGTTTAATAATGGTTAAAAAATATTCATAAATAAAATTATGAAGTTATTTAAAAAAACAATACGTAAGAGGAAAGTGTTGTTTTCCTAATATCAGTTGGATTCGAAACAGTTATATCAATTGCTGCGGTTGATTATTGTAATCTGTTACATATTCTACATCATATCTTATTTTTGCATATATCTATAACTATATTCCTGACTCCGCTATAACAGAGGTTCATCTGTTTAATATTTAAAGTTTCATTAGTTGGTTGAATCTCTTTGAGTCCAAAAAAATTAAAAAATAAAATCTATTTTTATAATTTTTTTTTTTAATTTTGAAAAAATCTTTTTTTGCTTTCAATTAAATTTTTCAGTTATTTTTTTTTCGAGCCTGCTACGTATTATTAAACGTGTGAGAGCTCTGTTAAAAATATTTTTAAATAATACTTTTTCTTTTTTAATAAAAAATAAAAAATATTTTTAAATTATGCATTTTCTTCTTTAATAAAAAATTAAAAATATTTTTAAATTATACTTTTTCGTTTTTAAAATATGGAGACATATAGAAACCTGATTTAATAACTTGAAATATTAAACTTTCCTTGATTGTAAGAAATCTTTAAATCATAATATATTTATTTATTTAGACTTATAATAATCTGTCTCATGGACAGTAATTATAGTGAAATATGAACACATTCACACCAAAATCATAATATATTAGCATTTATATGATTATTTCAAAGAAGATGAATTTGGATCCCATCTTCATCAAACTTCAATACATGAAAACAAACAAATATTGAGTGACATTTGACATAGAATTACAAAAAAAAGATGTTAAAATTTCGATATTTTGTCTTGTTGTTAAGAAAAAGCATTTATTTTTGCGCCTCTGAAGTTTTGCTGAGCCGATTTCATAATTAACAATTATCAGATGTGTAGGATAATCAACACAAGATGTATTTTTAAAATTAAATTTATATCCTAATTATTACTAATTTATTCCCCTAATTAAATAATTCACTTTTTTTTATCGTGTTCAATTATATTTTAATAATTACAAAAAAACTTGTATTTGTTCGTATATTTATAATTAAATGAATATGTAAAGTATTTTCCAGTTATGAATTAAGTAATCAATTGAAATTAAAGAATATTTCTCTATAGTATGTTTAACTGTTGATATAGCATTCGACTGAGTCTGGTAGAACCGCTATAAAACAATTTAATATTTCAAATACACAAAAGGTCTCCATATAACACTTAAGAACACTTCTATAATACATAATTAGAAGTAATATTATTATTTTTTATTTTTAAAATAACTTACACTAACTACTAATGGCCTGTTAAGCGTAACAAATCCACCAAGTTGAATATCAGGTGCACCTGCCTTTATCGATTCAAGTATCAAGAATATCTGTAAATTAAAAAAATAATGGAAATTTTTTAGGTTATATAGAAATTCAATTCAGTTTTTTTCTTTTGAAAATGCCTTACCTCGTGTCTGATATCAGCGTTGGTCATCGTAATTTTCGCTTTTAAAACAGAAGTGAGGGTACACGATGCAACCTATAAAATAAGAATAATTTTATTTTACTCTGTTAATCAAATTATTTCTATAATTCTACTTCCCTACTCGACTTGTCAAGTCGGTTCGGGTCGTGTAAACGGGTAAGATCTTTCTGTGTACGATTTATTTCATAAACTAAAGCAATGTAAATCGGCTTAAGGTAGATCAGTGTAAACATTTCAATACCTTCTAATATTATTGATACTTTTTTTGCCTAGTAAAGGTAGGAAAGTAAAAAGAAGCAACAAAATCGGTTCGGTAGTTTCCGAGGAAATCTTGGCACTCTTTAACTGAGGTAAAGCTTATGACTTTTATATATTTTATATTAGAAGGAAATAATAATCATACTTTAATTAAAGAAGATATAATTGCAATTTATTTGTCTATAAAGCAACAGAAGTTTAGTATTAAATATTAATATAAATAATAACACAATAAAAATAATTGTAAAACAAATCTAAACTTTATTCATAAAAATATAACTGCATATGTCAGCAAAATTTATGTACTAGGTACTTCGTACAATACATCATAACCTCATAGGAATATGAAGATGTTCGTAAGAACGTCAATCCTGTAACTAAACAGTACGTTTTCAATTAAAACAGCTGATTTCCTTTTCCTTTTATTTAGTATTTAAAAATTAGAAAATAAAACAGATTTCATTAATCAAACGAAATTATTTAAAAATAATAAATAAAACGCGAGTGTTGGTGTGGAAATAGTAAAAAAGATTTCCAATCATTGAAAGAAAAATCCTACTCAGTATTATTAAGAATTTATGTTAAGATAATAAAAAATGAGATTAAATATGAGATTTAAGAACTACTTATCGATGATGACTATTTAGTGAATCAATGAGTAGGCCGTGGTACAGAACCATTTTTATCAAATTATTAATATCTGCCTGAAACTTCGTGAATGTCTTCTTCTTATCGTAACTGCAACTTGGAAATGGGGCGTTTTCAATTTAGAGATAGGCAAACTCAGTCTATTTAATGAAGTGCTAAAAAATCTTGAACCCCCATTTGGTTTCCACTTGGATCGTAAGATAATTTGATCAAAAAGTCGATATAAAAGGTGGCCTACACAAATATTGGGCCGTTTGGCGTTACTTCCACCCAACATATCAAAATCACGAGGTTATATAGGATAAAATGGCCCATAGTTTTGTACACCACTTTTTTCTCGATTATAAGATCAAATCATCTTATAATGGAAAGAAAATGGGTATTTATAAGTTTTTAGTTATAAATTACCCATATTAACACTGTCATTATCGCATGATACACGTGTCCTATCAGTTAATAACGACCCAAAAATTACATCCCAATCCCTTCAATTACACATCACAAACCTTGAAGAATGGTGTCAAAACTGGAGGATTAAAATAAATTTCAATAAATTCACCTTCACCCTTCGTCGTAAACCTATGTCCTCCTGTCCTACAGTATCCTTTAATAATACCCCACTTATCCCTGTTGAACAAATCCGATACCTTGGACTCCACTTAGACAAACATCTAACTTGGAATCCTCATACCAGACTGAAACGACAAAAAACCGCTCGACGTTTCCGCTTACTCCAACACTTACTAGACAATCGCTCTAAGCTACCAGACAATTACAAAAGACTCGTATACATGAGTATAATAAGACCTATTTGGACTTACGTTGAGCTCTGGGGCTCCACTAAGCCATCAAATTCCTCTCGTATCCAATCCTTACAATCCAAAATCCTTCGTAAAATCCTCACTGCTCCTTACTTTGTTACAAATAAAATCATCCATAACGACCTTAATGTTCCTTATGTTTCTGACCTGGCCCAATCCAGATACCTATCCTTCCATAACAAACTTCAGAACCATCCAAACCCTCTCGTTTCTAACCTTGCTTCCTCTTCGATCCTGACAACCCTCTGAGGCGTCTGAAAAGAAGATGGCCTCGAGATCTCCTTTTGTAAATACATTTTTAGAGTGCTACCAGTGGGTAGTTTCTCAACAAGTGGTTTCATGTTATTATATTCTTTTGTTCACATTTACTGAATGTATTTTTATTTGTAATACAGTTGTAAATATCATCAATAAAAAAAGAAATGTAATAAATTAAATCGTTTAATTTAATGAGAAAATGTCTCATTTCTGAGAATCTTAGTTGATCAAAAGTTTTAGATTATGACATGAAGTAAGTCATTCACAAAGTTTTGACGGATGTTAATAATTCGATAAAAAGGGGTCTGTACTGCAGACTATTAGTTGAGTGGATATAACCAAATTGTCACCTATACGATTTACAACAATGGCTTCAATAATAATATTTTCATTCTTAAACTAAAAACGATACGGATGATATTACACTCGAGGTAGCCCTGTGGCCTGCATCGCAGATAGTGAAGACTATGGCCAGGGAGAAGGTGCTGGCGCAGAGGTAGCCGATGGCCTTCCAGCTGATGGCGTACGAGATGAGCTGGACCAGGCCGTTGAAGAGGCCGAGGAGGAAGGTGGTGCTGAAGGTGAGCATGATGGAGATGAGCACCGCCGAGAGGTCGGTGCCTAGTGACAGAGTCAGGTGGCGCAAGTCCAGCCACAGGTGGCGCCACCTCTTCAGCAGCCATTTGTTAGGCTTGGCTTCCAGGGCCTATTTGTCAAAATATGTTTGGTTTAGTTAATAAGTAAAAAACAAAAATATATACAATTTATTTTAATAAATGAAAATGTCTGGATCCATTATGAATCCCCACAAAACTTATTAATATCATTTGCATGACTCTTACACTGTGTAAGGCCAAGATCGGACAGAGATGCTCCAAAGATAATGTGAGCCACAATGCACTTTTTAAAATCATGGAATGGAAAAGTATGGGTTTTTTTTTTTTCAAAACCCCTTATTTTGAACGTTTTACTCTTTTTAACTAGTGACGTTTCTCCTTCTACTGTAGTAAGACTACATTTGAAGAAGTTTTTGATATTTAATATTGTTGTTATTTTTTAATGTTATTTCTAAGCATTGGGGCGTGCTTTATGTTTTTGATTTATTTTTACTTAATATTAAAACCTAAAACTATTTCTTAAAACTAATTGCTGAAAGCATTTTGTCCTCATTAGGACATATTGTCTTATTTTATTAAACTCCCTTTAGGTGAATTGTAGCTCATTTTGTTCTGCTTCTAGCACCGCTTGCTGCCATCTAACAGGGGCTGATGCTGCAGTTATCTTGAAGAGGGGGTTGGTAGTCAGTTGAAGCGAGTCGAAGAATTTAATGTGCCTTCTTCTGATGAATTCTGGAACTGTGGGTAGTTCGAAGAATTCATGTAGTTTTTCCATCTTCGTTTTCTTCAGTGATGTGGAACGGACTATCTCAGTATTGTATTTTGGAATTGTTGTAAATGACGTTGTGTTCCTTCTCTAAGATGTGTGAAAGGTGGAGCTCCATATAGTAGGGCTGGTTTAAGTATGCTTTTGTGGATTTTTATTTTTAGGCGCAGTGAAAGAAGTGGTGATAGTAGTAAATGATGGAGCCTGTAGATGACGGTGAGGGACTTTGAGTAACAGTGAGCTGAGGTCATATGACGGTCAAGTATTATACCTAGGTGTAAGATGGAGTTTGACGGGGCCATTGTTGTTTCGGCTACGGTGAAAGTGCGTGGGAGTTTTGACTTCTTTCCTTGGACTTATTGGTTAATTGAAGGGGCTATATAGGAAATGTTACACCCGCATTACAGATAATAAGCAGCATATGGATTCTATTGTATGCGGAAGAGGTACAAGGCTAGTCTCTTTAACATGGCAATGGATTGGGTAATCCAGGGTCATCTCAAGAAGAACGTTTCATGCTGTGTTACACTCAAGAATTCCTGGGAGCTACATAAATCAACTCGGGCTTGAGATTAATGTTCAAAAGACCAATCATATGCAGATCACAAAAAGGCACTGTGAAGAGCGGACTATTCAACTGGGAGAGTATCAAATGCAATTTGTTAAGAATTCATGTACCTCGGTAGGTTGATAACAGTCGATAATTTGAAATAATCCGATATAAAAGACAGAATTGCTACTGTAAACTGTTGCATATGGGGTTAGCAGAAGGCTCATAACTTTAATAGTAAGGCCAACTGTAACCTAAGGAAGCGAATCAAGGACCGTAACAGCAGAAAACGACAAATATTTTAAAAGTCTGGGAGACAATAGTTCGTCGAATATTCGGTGCAGTAAAAGCTGGAGGTGTCTGAAGAATAAGAACTGCAGTGGTTGTTTGGAGAGGGAGACATCGTCTGTTATATCCAACTAATCCGATTAAGATGGGTTAGATCATGCAGAGGATCCAGGTACAATCCCTTCAAAACTTGCTCTACGGGAAACCAGGAGGTAGACGAAAGCGTGGGAAGGATCGACAGTGATGACTGGATGATGTTGAGAGTGATCCGAAGACTTTATGTGTACATCGCTGCTACAGACAGAGCCGAATGGAGCAAGCTGTTAATATGATTCTTGTGTCAATGTGTAAGTTACTGAAATAAAATGAAAAAATATTTTCATTTAAGAAGAAGAGATAGGCCCCCCAAAAAAACTTGGAATGATCTAAATCCCCTTTTACGCGCTGTAGTGGTGAAGAAACTTTACTGTTAAAAGGGTATTCTTAGGTCGTGGGACAAAATTGACCCAACATGTTGGAATTTTTATACTAAAGTATACAGCCTTCCTTGTATCGAGGAAACATACCATTCTTGAAAATTGGTGTGTAATCCAATATTTTTCTATTATGTAAAATCTATATACAAAACTCTTGAAACCATGCTAAAACACCTAAAATTCTGTACAGTGCTAAAACACAAATATACACTTTTAGAAAAAATAAAAATTAAAAAATACATTACATTCTTCTTAGCAGTAAACTCTGTGTTTCGGTTGAAAAAAAAAAAGAAAGTCGCATTTGATAGTAAGTATTTAAGTGATGAGTTATATGTAAATACATCATTATAAATAATATTTAATTTTACTTAAAAGGTTAGCGGGTATCTGACTGTTTTTGGGACAGGAATTTAAATAGGAGGGTTTTAAATGTAGATAGGGAGGAAAAATGCCGAATTTTGATAGGAAGGAAATTCCAGAAATTAACAGAGCGAGCAATAAAGAGTTTTGGAACGAGGCAGATCTGTGAGAAATAAAGGTCGGAAGGTCGAGATCTTGTGGAAAGGGAGTGGACTGAGGACTTGAATACGAGAAGGTTGTAGGCGTAAGAAGGACAATGATTATTAATGATTTGATATAAGAATGTACCTAGGAAATATTGTCTTCGAATGAAGGGAAGAGCCACTTTAACTCAGTGTAGTGGTGAGAGACATGGGAGTATCTCGGGGATCTATTTACAAATCTTACGCAACTGTTCATTAGTCTTTTCAGTTGTGTATGTATATATTGAATAAATTATTAGTTTTATTCTATTCATGAATTAGAGGTGCTTACTTTGAGATAATATACTTGCCGCTATCAATTTTTGGGATAGATCTTCGGATAACCGTTTTAGCTCAACGCAGGTTAGAAACCACAAGACTAGGATTAGCGCCGTACTGACTATCGTGAAGAAGTATGGAAGGAAATAGAGCCATGGGTCGTGGAGGGTGGAGTACTGCTCGAAGACCAGGAAGAGGACCACTGATGGGATTATCACAGCCACGTAGATCAAAACTGTTTTCTTGTATTTTAGTTCCAATTTCTCACCGAAGGTGGCTTCCCAGTTCAGCTGAGAAAAAGAAAATAATAATTTTTCATTGAATAAAACAGCTGATCAGAGTTTAAATAAAATAAAATATAATATGAAAATTGACACACTAAACAAGCTCGAGCATACAGAACGCGAATATGTCCAGGCGATACGATTTTGTTCTCCGTGAATATTTGGTGATCTAGTCGTGTTACATTCTATTTCAATATCATAGTCACTCAAAATACGAAAATCAGTAGCGATATAAAAAAGTGATCACAGATCGATAGAACAGATCGCGTTCTGCCTGCATGAGCCTTATAGTCTTAATACTATAAGGGTGAACTTCAGAGCAGCAATTTGAGTATTATAATACTTTAAAAGCAGAACTTTACAATGAATAAAATTATATCAAAATGTCAAAGTTCAACAAAATGGATTTGGAAGTGTGTAAGTCAAGAAATTCACAATTCTAATTTGATGTTTTTTAAAAATTATTAATTGTGGTAAATGGAATTGTCTGTTTTTAGTTTATGAACATTCACCTCTACCGTCCTCTCGTCGAAGGCAAAAATAAATTTGTTTGTATACATTTATATTATTTATATAAATTTATGTTTTGCTTGTTTTAAATGGATTTCAGATGTCTTACGGTTCTATTGACTATGAAAACGTCTGCCAAGTAAGTCATTATAGCTTCCTCATCAGTTGTATTGGGTGAAGAAAAATTTTAAAATAATTAAATTCCCAAAGGAGGTCTCCTTATCTTGAACCTGTGCAGAAACCGGAGTTAACGACGACTACCTGAACTTAATCAGTTGCCAATTATTACCCTTGACTTTATCTTTCTACCTTTGACCATTTCTAGTTATTTTTAGTTCATGAGATATGATTCTAATTTATGATATAGATTTAAATTTACCAATCAGCCGTTCTATATTAATAGCAGAATAGAAACTATTTTCTGGCAATGTTTGCGCAATTACAAAGTTTTTCAAGTGCGTGTTTAACGGAGCTAAATCTTAGTCCTTACAACTAATTTGTAACAACTCATTAATCCCATTAAAATAACAGAAACCCTATTTCTTGTATCGACGGAAGGCAATAAAAACTTCATAAATCCGTCTGTTTTTGTAAACCACTTAACTCCAGTTTCTGAGCTACATATAAATGACTAGAGAGATTTTAAAGTATATTTGTATATTTAACCTATTAATCTACTCTTGCATATCTAATCTATTACATTATTCGATATTAAGCTCTTATTATTAACTGAAAACGTACCTATTAAGATTATATCACTACTATTAGTGCAAAAGGTCGTATGTAAAAATTTTCAACTTTTATTCCATTTGTGCTAAAGGTGACATTTTGTAGCCTGCAACTGATATAAGCAGTCTGCTACGATGGGAAATAGCAGAGGACAGTAAACTATGAAATTATATCAATAAAACATAAAGAAATGATGAATTTTTACATACGACCTTTTGCACTATCAGTAGTGAAATGCATGTTCAGTATGCATTTGTATTTTTTTTTTTTTTTTTAAGAATAATCAATATGGAATCTTCAAATATGGCACTCTTTCGCATTTTAATATTAGCTGATAAACGAAATTTGTGGATATTAATAGATTTTATTCTCATACGAAAAACTGTATACCTTGCAATATAGATATATTTTAGCCAATGAAACGGTGAGGAAGCTATACTGACCTTACTTGGCAGACGTTTTTTTCCATTGTAAAGTTTACTAAAATGAAGTAACGAGATTTTCATTGCGGAAGTTTATTTTTAATGTAGTGGATTAAATTTTTTGAAATTGAAACTTACCTGATCATTTGTTTATCAATCCCTAACTTCCTTCCAAATTTGGGCCATTTCGAACAAGCGATTATTGATACATAAGCGTGTCTAGGAAATCCTTTTGCACAAATTTCAGAGAAAGTTGTAAATGGAATTTAATAAAAATGGCACAGTATCATTGTTTTACCAGTACCCACATTTCTTCAAAGTTTAAGCTAAATTGAACGATCCGTTTCTGAAAAATGGATATATTAAAGAAAATACATTTGTACCTGGTTAACTGAAAGTATAGAATGGAATTTGATAAAATTGATACAGGACCATCTAGGCACCTAGCCGAATAATTTTATGAAAATTTTATAAAAATCGGATTAATGATAGTAGGTGTTATGGCCATCTCATCGATTTAACTACAGACAGACACCAAACCGAATTTGATTCTTGATGTCTGAAACGTTAAACGCGAATGGATATTTTCCATTCTAGGTACAAAATTTTTGTCCCGCACGAATATAAAATTTCCCTACTTCCGCTAGTGAGGAAGCAAAACACGCCCATCCTTTTTAATAAACAAAAAATATCAAATGTACCACTTAATGTAATAAGAATGCCTAAACTATTGGACAGACTCTAGACAGACTGACATTTGATTGCGAGAAATCAGAAGTATTTTTAGTTTAAGTAGTTATTTAAAACGCATTGACATGTTATACAAAAATTCATTCGTTTCATTTTGAGACTTACCTGGAAATCAGTCCACAAATTGAGATAATGTGCCATCCTGGAATTCTGGAGCCAGTATGTGAATGGCAGATGAAAATGGATGTTGAGGTAGGCCAGTATGTGAATAGAGAATATGAACTCATCGTAGTCGCGTTGGGAGTCCACCAAAGCTTGCACGCGGCGGAAGCATACAATCACCGCGACGTAGGTCTGCAAGCCGTAGTTAACTAAGCAGTACAGTGTACTCCAGGATATGAGCTTACTCACCCATTCTCCTAGGAGAATAACATTTATAAAATAATTATTTAAAACTTTAAGTTTATATTATTTAAATATTCAAAAATAAGACATATTTACGACCAGACTAAAACATAAGTCATTCTACATTTTTGATAAATATTTTATTTATATTATTATATTTATTATTTTATTTTATTTATTATTATTATTTTTAAAATTTGCTAATATGTTAAAATATAATATACATATATATTAAAATCTGTTCTGATTAGATCAATTCAAATAATCTTAACATATTCATATTTAACATTTAATAACATTTAACATATTCATACTTTACATATTCAGATTTATTTAATAAACTCCATACTGACCAGAACTTTATTTTAATTTTGCACACCTGTTTGTTTTAGTTTGGAAAATGCCTAAAGTAACAAATAAATTTATATTTATTTAATAAATAAGAGTATTCATTCGTGGTGTGAAAATATTCCCATTCACTTCTGTAAATTTAAGCGTATTCATTTTAATAAACGTGAATACAACCGTTTTCACTTTTATAACTTTCACAAATTCACATTTAAAGTGGTGAATGCGGCCGTATTTATACTCACAGCTGTGAATACGTATCATCTGTATTCATATTTCTTTTTATGAATATAAATATATTCATATTATATTCAAAAGTGCCATAAATATAAATGGTATTCGTATTTATATTTTTGAATATAGATATGTCCATCTCTGGTTCCAGGAACAACCATCTGTCAGTAAGGCCTTACCTTAGGATTGCCTTTTTCTCTTTAACGACTCAGATCTACACCAAAATTTTTGTTTGATTGTTTTTTGGAATATTTTTAAAATATGTTTTGTCTGTTTTAACTTATCTTGATGAAGGAATAGGATCTTTAATGGGTGTCAGCTACTGAAACCTTATAATGGGAACTTTTGCCAGTTGTTAACAGGCCAGTACTCTCATAAATTCAAAGGGATATACTCAATATAAGAGGTCTTAAAAATAGAACCATTAAGAAGTTTTTTTTTATAATAAGTTAAAGGTAATTTTTGTTAATCTTAAAGTGAATAATATGTAATTTCCCTTAAATACATCCTTTTTCTCATCTCTGTCAGCTATAGGAACGTTTAAAATCAAACAGAGTTAGCTACTAGAACAACAAAAACTATTCTCTATTTTCAAATTTTTAAATATTGAAAATAAAGAGCTTACCACTTTTAAAGTGATGAATACGTCCGTATTTATATAAATATTTACAGTTGTGAATACATATCATCTGCATTCATATTTATTTTTATGAATATAAATATATTCATGTTTATATTCAAAAGTGCCATAAATATAAATGGTATTCGTAGTTATATTTTTAAATATAAATATGTCCATCTCTGGCTGGGACACTAAGTGGACCTTGAGGAACCTTCCTAATTTGCCACTCATTATTTCAGTTCCGATTTCCGCAAAAACTAAAGCAAAGCTGACAAAAATACAAGGAGCAAATATATAAATTAAAAATAAATTAAATAAAGGTCTAGGAGGTCCTGAAATTTTATTATTCCCTCTGTTCATTATTCCTAGAATTGGTGTCTTGAGGTTTTAATTGTTATATAAATTAGGCCATTATTCACCAACATTTTATTTATTAGCTATTTTATATCGACGTTTCGACCATCACTAAGGCCATTTTCAAGTCTTATTGAGTCCTCCAATATTCATCATTAATGTCATATTAATAATTAAAAGTCCCTCGAGAAATGACGTAGGGGAAACTCTTAAATATCAGGACAATTTAATTTTTCTCTGAAAAATTAATATGACATCAATAATGAATATCCAATGGAGGACTCAATAAGACTTGAAAATGGCCCTAGTGATGGTCGAAACGTCGTAATAAAATGGCTAATAAATAAAGTGTTGGTGAATAATGGCCTAATTTATTATTCCCCTTTTTCGAGGAAGGTGTCAGGTATTGGTCATATTTTATCCTACAACGAATTCATCTACATTTAAAGTTGTTTTGTTTTTTTTATTGTAAAACGAATTCCCACACTTTTTTTTTAAATTGGATACACTTTTGTATTTCGTACGACCTTGAGGTATAATAACTTTAATAATAATACCTTTTTCAGAAAGTTGGATGCTGTACCTGCCGAAAAGCCGGAGTATGAGAAGAACCGGCTTGAATTGGTTATAGTACGAAGACCAGGGTCGCAGTTTCTTCTTGTCCTCCCTTGGGGCGCTTATCTCAGATAAGGGCGGATGGTGACTCCTCTGGATGTAGAAGTGTCGATAGACGTCCAGTGTGAGTTCACTTTTCATCTGAAACTGGATACTAGGCTCCTCAATGAATTTTGACATATTCCATCGGGGTAAGTACTTATTTTAATATATAACTATGGGTATTTATGGGTATTTTTAAGAACAGTTGTCACATTCAGTATACTGGCTTATTTATATATATACTTTTTTAAAAACTTATTTATTGAAAAATGTTACAATCTGTCTCAAGGACATTTATAATAGTGTTCAGAGATCGCATTCACACTCTATGTACAATAAATAAAATAAATTATACAGAAAAATAATATATTTACAATAAATAAGAATAAAGTAACCTAAAAATAAATAAAAAGAACACATACATACCTTTTATATATTTAACATTTTTAGTATTTTACTGCCTGACTCAAAATTTTTGCTTATTTTATTTCATTATTGCAATTAATTTTATACATCAATCCTAAAATAATGGGAAATATTTAAATGGGCGATATTAAAACTCAGGTGCAACAAAAAAACTCATATAGTCTGATTCCAAACAAAAGCGGTAAATTTAAATTTTATATTTTTTTTTAAGTGTCATATATTTTGTACAATTGGAAAGGAATGTTAAAAATCTACTCAATTTCGGTATTTAACAATGGCAGAATAGTAAATTAGATAATTTTTTTTTAATATATGTAGAATTTTCTCAAAAAAATCATTTAAAGAGGTGTAAACAGGCTAAACCGTATAAAATAAAATATATTAAAAAAAAAATCAAAAAATAAGAATAAACTAAGTTAAGTTATATTTTTTATAAAATCATGCACGATAGTAAAAATAATAAAATGAAATCATTCGAATTTTTTTTTTTTTTTTGTTGGACTACAATTGGTCTACCAAATTCTCACTAGTAGAAAAAAATTCTAGTATAATAAACTTTAACTTTAAATGATACCCTCCTTCATTTGAATACAAAAACTTATGTGATGTGAAATTCTGTCTCCTCAAATTATCAGTGTTTTCAACTTCATTAATATCCTCTTACAACAACATAAGCAATTTCTACTTGCAAATGAACAAAATATATATTTAAATTATTAACATTTAAATAATTGGATGGCTTCAGCCCGAACACCAGTAAGTTATAACCTCGGTTCCTTAAGGGTGTATTAATGAATCCTTATAGAAAGTATTGGGTCATTATATATTAAGAACACATTATACAAGAAAAAGTATTTTCAGAACTTAACAAAAAATACATAAAATGTATTTATATATGAAGCTGCAAAATATTGTCATAGAATCAGGATTTTTATTTGTACGTTATTGAAAATTTTTGGAATATTTAACTATGTTTCGCCTCAAAAACATAAAAAAATTGAATCATCAGGACACCTTTAAATAAGGGTTTATGCAGCGCGGCCAAAAAATAACCTTTGAAACAAAATATCAATTTTTTTTCTGTTTACTTATATCATACTATTTTCTGCATGTTTATTATTATTTTTAATACATTTTTGACGAAAATTTTCAAGGGATCATGGAATAAATAATCATATTCACCTACAATAGAATTTAAATAAAATAATGCATTTGTTTGTTCAATGTCATTCAAATGTATATCAAGTAATTTGAATAATAAAAAAAAATGATTTAGTATTTTCTTCAAAGGCTTATTTAATTTTATTTATTTACAAAGCACCTAGTATTTTACGAGAGATTGCAATCAATTTATACATTTTACAGTATAGATCTGTTATTTAGAAGCTATGGATTGTGTAAATGAGGTGTAAATAGAAAGGAAATTTCATGGCGAAATGATGGATCTTCAATTCTTACTATAAATTTAATGAAATATGAGAGTAATATCAAATTCAGAGGGTGATGATTCGGCGAATCGCCGTGGATTTTAAAGATTCGGACACGAACATTAAGTGGTTAGGACGTTACCACAGAATGTGCCGTGCCTTTATATTTGCTGTTGAGATGGTGAAGGGGTTCACCTTAGTCTCCTAGATGCCACGGCTGCCATGGTACCCTAATCATATCGTTTAGGTTTTTAAAAAATACCAATATTGCTAAATAAAAAATATTGCTATCTATTGTAGTCTATACTATAAACAATAAAGTTATTAAAAAAGTAACGAAATCATTATTGCTTTCATTTATATTTTGAAGAAGCACTTAAGGACCAACGGATCCACATAAAAAACCAAAAAAAAAAAACAAAATTAAATTCTAAATTTACTGCTTCAAATGTATTTTTACATATAATTTCTCAAATATATATTTTTTTTTTTACAATATGTCTTCAATAAATCTTTATCAAATGATTTAAGCCATCATTTTGAAGATTATATAAAAATTAAGAAAAAAAAGGTATGAAGACCATTTTAGCAAAGATACAGTTAATTGTTACATGTACAAATTGTTTCAGTTTACTATTATTATTATTTTTTATTCATTTATATTTACAACTGTATTATAAAAAAATACAACTAGTAAATCTGCACACAGTAATAATACAATCACTCTTGTTGAGAAACTACCCATTGGTAGCACTCTAAAGTTTCTTAATTTGAATTGAAAATTGTAATGAACCAAGGAAAAGAAAACTAATATTTCCCATTAATTATTTCCATGTTATAATGCAAATTGTTTACTGACCAAAAGTTTAATAATTATTTGTTTGCTGTTCTACTTCAGTCTCATGCAGAGTTTTAGATCTTATTTATTATAAGGACGATGAACTAGTTATATCAGTTATTTTATGAACACTTACTTTATCGACTTCATGTTTATTTGAACTGCGATTGCAGAAATGTGTGGTTATTTAAATTCAAATGGTTATTGCTAAATTGTACGCGCTCTGTGACAAGTCCTTGTACTTCAAACGCTCATTCAAAATTCGTACTATTGTAGGCTCAATGTTTTTGTTTCTTAAAAATTAAATTAGGTCAGATCAATATTTATCATCTCTAATAATTAATTTTAAAGCCTTTTTTTAATTATTTTTGTTTATGTTAATGGGCCAAGAAGTAAAATAAGTTTAATATAATGTACGAAATTAAATAAATAAAAAAGTGTATACATTTTTAGAAACTGTTAGAAAATTTTCTATAAAAATTAAAATAGTAAAATAAACTTTTTAAAGGATACAATATTCCTATTATTATTAAAAATAAATGTATAACACATTATTATGACTTCATCTATTAAGATATATAATTGAATTTAATAAATATTAATTTTTTATTTTTTTCATAGTCCCTTTTTTATTGATCTTTGTCTTGAATCCTTGGATTTTCGTTGTCTTCTTAATAGTCCTTTTACTGCTAAAAAGCATTGTAAGGTGTATTTTGTTTTTTTTGTCGTTTCTGAGTATTTTTTCTACATTTGTATTATAATCGGTGATGGGGCTCACTTCAGACCTGAGTTGACCTTATACTCTAGAGCTTAAAACCAAATTAAAACACCTATCTTATGTGCGTTGTAGCCAACGTTTTGGAATTTTGGCTGGTAATAAGTTGTTGAAAAGAGTGTTTGCCAATTGTTGAGGCCTTTAGTAAAATTTTTTTTTTTTTCGTTTTGTGAGAAATTCTTTTACTATTGATAAATTTAGCGCTGCTTGTATATTCGATTTTATTTTTATTTTACTTACTTAGAATTATTTAAATTAATTATGTTAAATTGTAGTTTTAGGAAGAAAAAAAATGAATATTATTTTATTTTACACTTTTGATTAATATTTTGTTCTATTTATTTTATTTTTTTGTACATATAGTGTGAATGTCATCCTACCTCACTATAACCAATATCCAAGAGACGGATTGTTATAATACTCAATAAAGGAATAAATAAAATAAAAACAATTATTTTATAAAGGATAAAAGTCCAAAATATTTTTTTTAAATGACGGTATCAGTTTTTTTTAAATTTGTTTTCTAGAAAATTAAAAAAAAAACAAATATCATGGTTTTATGGAGGCAATAATAATCATACTCTAGTTAAGGAAGGTTTGCAATTTATTTGCCTATAAAGCAACAGAAGTTCAGTATTTCATATTAATATAAATAATAATACGGTAAAAGTATAACTTTGCATACGTCAGCAAAAATTATGTACAAAGTACGAGGCTGGTCGATCTTCGTACCTCGTACATTACGTCATAACCTCGTACAAATGCGAGGATCCTCCTACAAACGGCAACAATGCACGGGTATTATCAGGATGACTCATTTCCATGGTTACACTCTAGGTACTTTACTTAGACGAGTTTGTTTTGTATTGTGAGTGACCTGTTGGAGAAACTGATAAGAGTCATAAACAAACCCTCTTGAGGGAGAGTTTAAAGGCTGCTGTTCGTACTGCATTGAATTCACAATCTTATTCCGCGATAAGTTATCTGTCCCAAGATTAGAATAAAGACCTCGCACTTGTTTTTATCTTGGAGCAGCTGATATAAGTTTTGTTAGCTATTATTAAAAATGTACTACGAATAACCTTTCTTTAGACTTTATTTGTTAAACAATCTATGGAGAGTACTGAATCGAATATTTATTTTTAAAAGAATCTGACTCATTGTAAACTATTTTAATTTATTTGTGGTTGAAAGTGAAATGTTACACCGCTTTTTGAGCCATTTTATAGCTTAATAAAATTAACGATTAAGTAGTTTTATTAAGATGGCGCCAAATCGGATTTTTTAAGCAATCGATAGATTTAAAAAATCCTATATATTATTTCTAAAAGGTGTTTTTTTGTCAGTATGCCATAACTTCTTTAATTCTTCATCAAATCCAATGATTGACTACTCATTTTGAAGATATTCTTCTCCATCATATGCGAAATATAGTCCTATTCCCCCGAAATTGTTTAACAAAAAGTTATGAAGGAATAGAAACGTTATTTGCGAATAACTCAAAAAGTATGCATTTTTTTCTTGATTGTATACATGATAATTAGAAATTTTACTAAATTACCTAAAAAACAAACAAATAATCGGACAATTATTAACAAAGATACAGTCCATTATTTTTGTTGTACTTAATAATTTCTTCCTCTAGCAAAGATATTGCGTTTACTATTCTACTACACTTTGTTTTCTGGCTGATATATTGACTTTATTATTTCTTAAAGACATTTGGTTGTTCTTACATTTTATTTTTGTTTATAATTTTGAAAATCCCATGATCGAGACTTTATTTTGTTTTTATTACTTTTATTATCTTTCCAGTTAGCGTCTAAAAGTTCTAGCAAAGGAATTTGTATAAATATTTTGGTCTATTATGTTAAATGGAATATTGCAATCTACCAAGGAAAAAATATTAATTCCTTCCTTACATAATATATGGGATCTACTTATTTACATATTCTTTTGCTAATTCTTCACTATTAGTGTTGCCCAAAATCTTGCACTTTGCAAGACCAAGACCAAGGCCGCCTAACTGTTGCAAGACCAA